CCGCCCTCGATTTTCAATGTGTTTACATCTTTCAAGAAAGAAAGATGAGAAGGCTCCAAAAAAGCATTCTTTTTGACCATGATGACGTCACCAAAATAAAAAATAAATGGACACGTCCGAAAGAGAATAGATTTAGCTATAACATACTCACAGGTGGGAGACAATCAATCAAGATAAGCGAGTACGTTCAAACGAGTATAAAAAGTAAAAACGTCATAAATAAAATTAAATTTTTTCTTAATTCAAATGGCAATATGATGACGTCAAAATGTCCGATCAACCATTATGATCTATAAAATCGTATCTACAACTCATGTGCTTTCAGAATATGTAATAAAAATTGGGGGTCACCTTTCAACCTAAGGAGCTATAACTGATTAAAAATAGGTCTGATTTGCATGGTTTTATGCATATATAAATGTTGACGCACGCTTACGCGCACGTAAAGTCGCGCGAACTGAAAACTAAGGTACCTGACATTCAACCTTGACCTGAAGATTATGCTCACTTAATATGATTCAGAAATGACGAATGGTTAAGATGATATGGGCTCATCAACATTTTAAGGAAAGAAAGATGTGGGGGTCAGAAAAAACAATTTTTTTGACCATGATGACGTCATCAAAATCTAAAAAAATGTCAAATATATGAAAGAGAATTGTCTCAGCTATAACATACTGAAAGTTGGAAGACGATCGATCAAGGATAAGCGAGATACGCTCAAATGCGTATTTTCAAAAATGACGTCATAGCTATAAATCACTTTCTTTGAATTCAGACGCCAATATGATGACGTCACAATATCTGATCAGCCATTATGATCTATAAAATCATATCTACAACTCATTTTCTTTCAGAATATGTAATAAAAAATGGGGGTCACCTTTCAACCTAAGGAGATATAACTGAATGAAAATAGGCCTCATTTTAGCATAATTTCACTGTATAGAGCACAAATACGGCCAAAGATACCTATGTTTGATGCGCACGTACGGTATTGCTATTGGCCAAATGATGACCAAAAAGATTGGAAGTTTGTGAAAAAAATGTCAGGAACCCAAAATATGTAAAAAAAAACATCATATCTAGCTTTCGTACGTGCTGCGCACGTTAAAATGCGCGCACGTAGTGGAAAATTTCAAAAACATTTGAAATGCCTAAAATGGCCTAAAACGTGCAATAATTTAGTCAAAAAGTGATTTTGAGCATTTTAAAATTTTGACGCACGCGTACGCGCGCGAAGTGGAGCGCAAGCGTCCAATTAGGGTACAGTACATTTAACATTAACCCGAAGTTAATACTCACTTAATACGATTTCGAAATGGCAATTGGTTACGCTGATATTATCGATAATGTAAAAACGCAAAATTGCGCGTAGATGACGTCACGCATGACTGAGCGCGTTGAAAAGCTTACCATGACT